GGAGGATTAGGGGCTCTCTGGGAGGAGGGGTCTGCTTGGCGAGCGGCCGCCGCACCGGGTGCTCGTTGGCGGCGTCGATGTAGCCGCGCGCTGGAAACGTGTTGCGGTGGTGGTGCTTGTGCACCCAGCGATACACCGCCTGCAAGTGCATGGCGCGGTGCAGCGGCGCGTAGAGCATGTCGTCGACCACGAGCAGCATCCTGCGCCGACGGAACAGCGGTCGGGACTCGACGCCGGCAAACGCTCCCTCGCGGGCCGGGCCGAGGCGGTTCGCGCTCCATCTAGTCTTGCGGCAGTCTAGGGGCGCGCGCCAAAACGCGAGTGGCCCGTTGAGCAGCGAGAGGCTGGTGGGCGCTCTCACGACGAGCGGCGCGAACCACAGCAGGTGCGAGATCTGCAGCGCAAATACGTACTCCACCGTCGAGTTGACGACGAGGTACGCCACGTCGGTGGCGTTGATCTTGTGCTGGAAGACCGGCTTGGGTCCGACGCGGGATGGCAGCGCCGGAAGCCGCGGCGCGAGCGCCCACACGAAACCGTCCACGAAGCCGAGCAGCGCCATGCGAACTGCCAGATACCCCGCGACCCACAGCGGAAGGCTCAGCCCCCAAGGGTTGAGCAGGCTGCCGAAGGTTGCGCCCGAGCGCAGCATCATGCCATACGCGACCGCCGCCGTGAGGGCCGAGGCCGGGTTCAGCACGAGCGTCTCCAGCGCTTCTCTCATCGATATCCGCGACACCCGCAGCCGCCCCACTCCTAGCCTCGGCGGTGCTGAGCGCGGCGGCGATCGCGCGGGGAAGGAGGGTGAGAGAAGGTACAGCGAAAATAAAAGAAAAATTAAGTGGGAACCGGACTGGCGCGTACTGGCACTAACACAGGGAAACTCCAAGCGCCGGCGCCCGTGTGAATAGGGTTGGACCACGCTCCACGGGCGACGAGCACCCGATTTTCTTTATTCCAGCGTCCAATACGGAAACAATCAAAAGACGGACTGGTATAGCAGGGAGAGGAGAGGCCAGAGAAAGCCAGTGCCGGAAGTGCGCACGTCTCGCGCGCGCCCGGGGCGGGGATATATTCTCCAAACCCACATCATCGAACGAGAGGTCAGAGTGAGAAGCGCTCGCGAGAACCCCGCTCTGCTATCGCGCCGGCGCCACACAAGGTTCGGTCTGAGGGTCTGAGGTCACACGGGGCCGCGGGCGCGGCTCACGACGCCTTGGGCTGAGACGCCTCGATCGCGCGGCTGCGGTGCTCTGTGAGCAGGCGAGTGCAGTCCTGGTCGAGGTACTCGCCGAGGGAGTCGGGCAACGGTGCCGCGCGGTCCGCCGCCCCGTCGAGAAGCACCACCTTGCGCGCCGTCTCCGGGTCGAGGAACTGCTTGACGACGGTCCACAGCGTCGAGGCGATCCACGGCACCGGCATCACGACCAGGCAGTGGAGCCGCTCGGGGAAGTTGGCCGAGAGCGTGGCCGAGACGGCGCGCATAAAGGGCACGACCGAGGTCGCCGGCGGGTTCGCCCACCCGTCGCCGCCGCGCGTGTCCGCAATGATGGTGACCCGCTCGGCGACGTCGCGGTCGAGCGACGCATCGAGCTTGGCGGCGATGGCGTTGGCATAGGTGTCCACGTCGGCGAGGTCCGGGTCGTACATCGCAGCCATGAGCACCGCGACGCGGTGACCTGACCGCGCCTTGCCGTCAAATACCAGCAGGTCCGGCAGGCCCGCGCCCAGCGCCGGCGCGCCGGCCGGCAGCGGCAGGGTCGCCGCGCGCCACGCGAGGTGCTCGCGGAGCATCTCCGACGCGTCGGGGACGCTGCCGTCGCGCGCGTCGAGAAAGCGCTGCCACTCGGCGTCGGAGATCGCTTCAAAACCCGCTACTGGCGCCATCGGAATAGCAAGGAGACTCGGAGAGAGCGTCGCAAGGAGTACAGACGGAAAAATTAGCGCTGCAGCTACACCACGGGAGCCGCCTAAGCGACTCCTGCGAGGACGAATTTTACAACAAAACTCCCTCGCACGACACTGGGCACGGGACTGGCGCGCACTGGCACAACACAGGTGTACACCTTCGTCAGGCTTCGAGATATTTTTAGAGTTGTTTGGTATTGCTAAAAATCTCTCTCTCTCCCAAACAACTCTAACACTCACACGTCATTTGGGGCCTGGAGCCCTGTTCACGCGCGCGCGAGACGTGCAGACAGGGTTGCCAGGTGAGAGCGAATGGCGCGTGAGGCGTGTTTGTTTTTCTTTTGAGAGCGCCTTCGAAAAGAATTCGCCTTTCCGACGAGCGACGAGAAAATGAGGCTGTCTCCTCCAGAATGATTATATGTATACACCATCCCCGTGAGCTGGGTGCTTGGATTTGAAGAAGCCGACGAGAGGAATTACTATGGGGAAACTTCACGGCAGGTCGGCAGGCACAAGCACACGGGCGTGGGGATGGCGTCGCCGTTCGTGAGCGGCGCGGCCTCCCTGCCCTCGCGCAGCACCACAATCGAGCCCGAGTCCTGGTTCGCCACCAGCGCCACCACGCCGTCGTCGCTCGCGCCGCCCGGCGGCTCGGCGGCGCCGGCGGCGCGCGCGCGCGCGCGCGGCCGCGCTTCCGGCCGCGCCCCCCCGCGCTGCTCGGCGGCGGCAGGAGCACAAAGTCGCGCGGCGTGCGGCCGAGGGTGCTCGTGATGCGCACGGGCTCGTCCTCGGCACTCTTGAAGAGGCCGCCGGGCGTGAGCGCCACGCACGAGAGCGCGCCAGCGGCGTCGACGAGGCGCGACGACACGACCACGTGCGAGGGCGCGTCGCCCGGCGCGAGGCGGACGGCCGCGATGCTCGTCGCCTTGTCCGAGCAGAGCGGCACGCCGCCCCGGTGCTCGCCGCCGTGCCACGCGGCGGTGGCGGCCGCCGCGGACCCCTGCAGGAGGCGCGCGTACTTTCGGACCGTCGTTTGGTACGCCTCGACGCTGCTGAGGTCGGCGTCCTCGCCGGAGCCTCCCATGAAGCCGCCCGCGTCGCCGTCGAGCACGTTGAGCGCGCAGAGCGGCTCGTCGCCCGCGATGGCGCCCGTCCTCTTGTCGATCGGGTACGCGGCGAGCACCGACGTCAGCTCATACCCCACGTACACGAGTGGCTCGGTCGGGTGGCGAACGAGGTGGCGTGGGCCGCCGCCGCGCAGCTCGGGCGGAGACGCCGTCGCGACAGGCTCGCCGAGCGGCTTGGCGCTCTCCGCGTCGTACGGGATCGACCACACGACGTCGCACCCGAGGTCGGGCACCAGGATGGTCGTGCCGTGCGTACCGGCCGAACAATACGCCATGTGCGCGTGGCTCGCCTCTTGGCGCGCCGCGTTCGGGCCGGGAAAGCTGACCGGGTGGCTGGCGGGCGGCAGGTGCACGTACTGCGCCGACGGCGCGTCGAGCGAGCCGTCCGCGCGGCGCGCGACAGCGACGACCGAACCGGCGCAGTAGTTGGATGCGACGACGTGCGCTCCGCCAGGAGTGACGCTCGCGTGGCAGCACGCCGCGCCGCCAGCGCGGTCGTCCGCCGGGATGCTGTTGAGGAGCGCGAGCGCGCCAGTCGCCGCATCGACGCTGACGGCCGCCAAATTGCCCGGACCGTCGCCACGCTCGTCGCAAATGTAGAGGACTTTTCCGTCGCCGCAGGAGGTGAGCCACGTCGGGTTGACAAGGCCGGAGGCGCCGCCGAGCTGTGGCGTCGTGAGCCCAGCCGTCGGCGTGAACGGCACGAGGCTCAGTGTCTCGCGGTCAAAGCGCACGGCGTACACGCCCTTGCCCTTGCCGTCCACGTGCCCCAGCTTCTCGCCGTACGTGCCGACGAGCAGCGGAGTAGACATTTTCGCCGCCGAGAATGAAGAACGCTTCCCGGGGTTCCGGGTGAGGGCCCTCATGAAGAGCGACGCCGAGGACAGTGTGCGGTCCTGCCTAAGTCCCACGGCCCGGACGGGTTTAGATTTGCTTGTTCGCCTGCTGCTCATTGCGTCTTGCATCGCACTGTACGTCTCATACGCGGACATCGATACGACGTGAGAGAGAGAGAGAAGGGGGTGAACCGCGCCATCCTCGATCGCCGTGCAAAGCTCGCTTCCGAGCTCTCACGCCGCGCGTAGGGCCCCTAGGGGCCTAGAGAACACAACCCCCTCTCCCTTTTCTCCCATTACGCAGTCACGGCTCTCATGTTAATTCTCGCACCCCCTCAGATCCACCTGCTGCTGCGGAGGCCGATCAAGCAATAGGGCAAGTTTCCTCGCCCCGGGGGTCATGAAAAACAAAGACGCCCGCTGAGTGAAAACAAAGAAAGGGCTAAGATCCATCGTTCTTTCTTTCTTCGCACGCGAAATTCTTTTTCGCACACGACACATTTCAACAAAACAAAACTCACATTTCGCAGAATTCTTTTTCGCACCCTCCCAAAGCCTACATACATGCGATGAGCCTGCCCGCTCTAAGAAGCATGACCACCGTGCTGCTACTCGCCGCCTCTGCCTGCGGCGTGTCGCTGCCGCCGCCCGCCATCGCCCATCCGGCCGTCGCACCCCTGAGGCGCCTCGAGCAGCGGCTGGTCGACGACGTGCCGCCGGCTGAAGCGCTGGTCGACGCAAGCCTCGCCGTGTGCTGGGCGCTTCCCGGCGAGCGCCGCAGCGCGCTGCCGCGCAACGCGCGTGAGCTCGCCGAGGCAGCCGCCTTCTTCGACTGGGAGAATGGCGACACGCTCGGTCAGCATCTCTTCAGCGCGTCGCTCTGGGATGACGCGATCGAGGCGCTCGCCCGCGCGGCTGCCGAGGTGGACGCGGCAGTCGCCGCCGAGGCGGCCGCCGCCGTCGCCGCGACGGCGCGCTTTGTGCTGCTGCCGCCGGCTGAGCGCGATGCCGCGCTCGATGCGCTTGCTGCCGCCGTCGCCTCCGATGCCTTCCTCGCTGCCCGCCGCGCCGCGCTCGCCACCGCAAAGCAGCAGCGTCGCGAGGCAGCGGCGGCCTCCTCGTCCGAGCGCGCAGCAGAGGTCTTTGCCGCCGCTCGGTTGCGCCGCGTGCGCCAGGACTTTGTCGCCGTCGCGCCGCCGCCCGCCGACGACGAGCGCATCGTCCGTGCGCTCTATGCCGTCGCCGTCCGCGAGCTCAGCGCGGGGCTGCTCGGCCCACTCGGCTTCCCGACATCCAAGCTTGGACTGCGCAGCCTCGTCGCGGCGAGCCGACACGCCGGCTCGCAGCGCGGCGCGGCGGCGCTCGGCACGGTGTGGCACGCGGCCGACGAGCCGGCGCCGCTCATCGTGCGCGCTGGCGCCGCCGCCGCCGCCGCTGCGCCCGCGCCGTCGACGGCCGACGGCGCGGGCGCCCTGAGCTCATACTCGCCTATCTCGGGCATCCCCACGCTGCCGAGCTCCGCGCGCACATTGGTGCTCGTCTTTTCGTCGCTCGGCTGGCACGGCGTGGTGCGTGCCGAGTACGCCGCGACGCTGCGCGCGGTGGGAGACGACACCCTCGTCCTCGCCCACTGCCTCGACACTGCGCAGTCGTGGTACATGACCGACCCGTACAGCGGCGAGTACGACGACGGGCGGTGGTGGGACGCGACGCTGAGTGCGCTCTGCGCGCCGTACGGCCGGGTGTGCATCCTGGGCGAGTCGATGGGGGCGACGGCCGCGTTGCGTTTCTCCCGGCACGCCAGCGCCAATGGCGCCGTCGTCGCGCTTGTCCCACAGATTGACGTGCGCGATTTTGACTACTCGGGCCGCGACGACTTTGGCGACGCGCGCAAGGAGCGCCTCCGGGCCGACCTCGTGAGCGCGTGCGCCGGCGCAGAGGCGCGCATCGTGTTGCACGTCGGCCAGGACCCGCCCGACTTGCGCCAGCTCGACTACCTGCCGCCCCGACTGCTGGCCTCAGAGCGGGTGCGCGTCGTCAGGCACGCCGTCGCTGGCCACGCGCTCGGCGCCGGCCTCAAGCACCGGGGCGTGCTGCGGCGCACGGTGCTGTCTGATCTGCTCGGCCACACTTACCGGCTCCCACCCGCCGGCGAGAGACACGAGACTTGCGAGCTCGATACTAAACAAAATACTTAGAGTAGCGGGACATTACGAAAAGGACACTCTCATCGCTCTGTCCTCCGGTGCTGCATGCGAACTCCACACGTCTCTCGCGTCCACTGGGCAGACACTGCACTGGAGGTCTGGACACTGGAGGGACGCCCCTGGGGCGAGCGGGGCGAGGTGGAGCTGGAGCGTGGAGGCCCCCGGGCGCGCGTGCGCCCTGCGGCTGCGCCCGGTCGAGAATGCGCCGCGGATTATACCGGATTTGCGCGTTCCCCCGGGGGGGGGCCGTGGCGCCGCGCGGGACCGGAGAGACGCAGCAGTTGCAGTTGAGAGATCCATGATGATTTATCGTGGTGGTCACACATAAATTAACATAAAAATGGAAACGCACCCCCAGAATTTTGCCGAGATACACGCCAGACAGCGCTATCGTTTGACATGCGCGTCCACGGAAGAGAGATGTTCTGCGCCCCCGCCGCCAGAGCCGCGCTGGAGGTCGCGCAGCGCCGCCTCGATGGCTCTACCCAGCGCGGAGAGCCTCAGCTCTCCATCAGGGTGCTGGACGATGCGCGACTGCGTGTCGAGCGTCTGCGCAATGTCGGCCCACTTGGACTGGTCGTCCGTGCCAAAGGTGAAGCAGAGATAGGCGTGCACCTCACCCTCGTCGCCCGCGCCAGGCTCGGTGCTGTGCTCGAAGCGAGAGCCAAAGACGATCGCCTTGCCCTTCTTGTACGCGTACCGCTGCAGCGCGGGCGGCGCCGTCCGCCCCTCCGTCGCATCCTCGGAGCCGTGCGCTGCGTAACCGTCGGATTGCGGCGCGCCGCTCGCGACGGCCGGCTTGTAGGTCAGCTGGAAGGAGTCCGTCTCTTGATAGTCGCGCAGCGGCGTGATGAGGGTGAGCGCGTGCAGGCCGACGGGGCGCATGTAGTCGGTGTGGAAGCTGTGCGCCTCGCACCACGAGCGGCAGACGTAAAAGGCGCTGAAGAGGCGCGGCGAGCTCAAGTGTGGGATGACAGAGGAGAAGCGCTGCGGCAGCTCGAGGCGCTCAAAGAGCGCCTCGAATCTCTGAAAGGAGTGCTCGTCGTCGACCGAGACCCACGCTATGTTGCTTCTCCAGCCGCTGACGCGCTGCGTGAAAAAGTTGCCGGCCGGTGTCGCGACCTCAGTGTACGGCTCTGCGCTGTCGCCCACGCCTGCAAAGGGGCTATGGTCGCCGTCGCCGTCGCCGTCGCCGTCGCCGTCGCTGCTGCTGCTCGCATCGCGGCCGTAGAAGATATCGGCCGCCTCGTCGATGATCGACTCGTCGACGTCAATCTCGAACACGTTGAGTGCGCCGAGTTTGCGATTGAAGTATGTGCCGTCGGCCAGCCGCCTGACGTCGGCGCTCGCCGCGGCGCAGGACCCTCCGCCGGTGGAGAATGTGCTCATGACTCGGCAGCGGAGCGGCGCCGCTCTCAGTAATGCCGCAGACGCGAGCGCGACGAGCTCGTGCATGTTGGGGGCCCGCAGCGCCATGGTAGTAGCTCAGCGCCATGAGCTAAATAAAGAAAACATCTTTCAAAAGCAAGGATCCCAGCCCGTTCGAGATCCTTGTGCCGGGTTCTTTGTGGGTGTGGTCGGCGACTAGCCGGGGTCGTCCTCCCGACGGGGGACTAGCACTAGCCGTCTTCCACATGGTCCCTCGGGTTCCTGCTGCTCCTAATCTCTTCGTACATCCTCCTGCTGATCTCCGCAAAGTCCTGCTCCCTCCCTCGTCTCGCCCTGCGCGTCTGCTCCGCCTCCCCGTCGTCTGCCCTGCGTCGTCTGGCGACGGGTCCTCTCCATACAACTGTAGTCGGTTGAGGTCGCCGCCCTCCTCGTGCCGCTTCCCACATGCAACGCGCCAGCTGCGAGACGGTGTACTGGATGTCGGGGCGCGCGTTGGTGGCGAACATGAGGCTGCCGATGAGGCACTGGCAGCGCTGGAGGAGCTGCGGGTCGGGCGCGGTCTTCTTCTCAGCTGCGTTGATGCGATGGACGGGAGGTCCTTGTCCGCGGGCACCTTGTAGCCCGCGTGCGTGACGCCTGACGGGAAGAAGCGCGCGCGCAGCGTGTCGATGTACTTGCTGGCAGACAGCTTGAAACCGGTCTGCGTCTTGGTGATGGTGAGCCCGAGGAACTCGTGCACCTTTCCCTCGTGGACCTTGAGCGGCTTGCCGACGTGCTTGTTGAAGTGCTCGATGTACTCGTGCGCGAGCGCCCTCGATGAGCGACTTGATCGCCGCGATGCCCTTCTTGATGTGTTGAAGACCGACGACCGCGCAGCCGTCTAGTCTACGGCCACACACACACACATAGTGTCCTTACCACCCCTGGACTGCATCTGCGCAGTTTCGTACCGCTGCGGCGCGGTTTTGCAAAAACCGTCCTGCAGCGGCGCGGTTTTGCCCTTCACCCGCAGCCTGGATTGATAGTCATTGTGGGTGTGGGGGCCGCGGGCCAGGACTTTTGTTTGAACAAAGTTTTGACAGTACATTTCTGTCGGGCCTTGGAACAGCTTGTGAGTGGTCACTGAAGACCTTCACAGTTGGTGGCGGCGGGGCAACGATCCCCGGGACATTACGACAACATGTCGTCGACGGACAAGCTGGTGATTCCGGCCTACAAACAGAGCTCCGAGCGGGAGTTCAACGAGTGGTTCCGCAACCTGCGGACCGCGGCGAAGCAACACAAGTACCTCCTCGACATCATCGAGGTGGGCACCATCCGGCCGGGCGCGGAGCGCGAGGCCGAGGCGGTCGCGCTGCACGTGCGCTACAAGAACATCGGCACTGCGGACGGCCTCATCCCGGCCATGATCGACAAGTTCTTCAAGGACCTGTCGGTGACTCTGTCGCGCCAACTCTACGGTGCGCTGCAGAACGCCGTCAAGGACGACGACACGCTGGCCGAGATGTTGGCGGACGAGGACGCCGACCACTACGACGACATCAAGAAGGGCATCGCGGCGATCAAGTCGCTCATCGAGTCGGAGGACACGAACTCCAAGAACGTGCGCACGAAGGCGCTGCGCGCGGATCTCGAGAAGGCGTACTCCCCCGACGCTCTCAAGGACCTCACGTCCGCGAGCCTCGCCAAGTTCAAGACGGGCATCGAGCAGGCGAACAAGTTGCTCAAGGACTCCCAGTGGCACCTCCCCGACGAGGTGATCGAGGAATACATCCTCGACGCGATCGCCGCCAAGGGGGCCACGCTCGGCGCAAACATGCGCGTGCAGATCGGCATACAGCGCCAACTCGCCGCGCAATCGGGCAAGACGTACGGCCTCAAGGCGTCCACGCTCGCGATGCAGGGCATCCTCGACCAAGACAACGCGGACCGCGCCAACGAGGCCAAGGCGGCTGCGCAGGCGGCGTTCGAGGCGGAGATTGCCTCGCAAGGCGTGCTCAAGGAGAAGCTCGCGGCCGCCGAGTCCCAGGTCGCCGCTCTCCAGGCGCAGATCAAATCCGACAAGGGCGGCGGGGACCGCGGCGGCCGCGCAGCCGCTGGGCGCAAGCCGTGCCCCCACTGCAATGGGTTGCACGGTGGCAAGTGCATCGGCGACCTCATCTGCAAGGGGGTCCCTGTCGCCAAGGTGCTCGAGGAACTCCCCGACCGCATCGACCACGAGACGAAGGTGCGCATGGCCCAGTCCTCGTACAAGAAGGTGTGCGCCAAGTCCCCCGGCCGCACCCTCCCGCACGACCCCTTCAAGAAGTCGGACTCCACCGCGACCGACCACGAGGAGGTGCGGGCGGCGCTGGCCGACTCTGTCACCCGCACGTTCGACCCGGACGGCATCGTCGGCGGCTTTGTCGCTGGCGTCGGCACCGACCAGGTCGAGGACACCTTCCCCGACTCCAACCCCACCGACACGCCCGCCATCCTCAAGGCCAAGACGGCGGCGCGCAATGCGGCGGAGGCACGGGCGCGCGGCGGGCTGTGGGTCAAGTTCACCTCGTTCGTCACCGCGCTGCCTCGCCCGTACATCGGCGCTTCCATCCTACTCGTCCTGCTCGCGTGCCTCATCCCGGTCTACATGGGCTCGCCTGCCTCGATCGGCACGCCTGTGGCCGACGCCGTGGACGAGCCCTCGAACATGGGCGTGATGGTCGAGTCCGTCACCGCACTACCCCTCGAGCTGTCCACCGGGCCGGCGACTGGCTCAGGTGGCGGAGCAGAGTACGCCATCGAGGAGGACCCGCTCCAGCCGATCTACCGCAAGGTCGCGGGCGACATGTTCCGCGCGGTGAATGACATCGACGTGCCCAAGACGGTCCCGCTCGTCCTCTCGTACACGTGCATCATGCTCGCCATGTACGTGGCGCGCATGGACGCGATGCAGGCACACGCGCTTGTCGGGCATGTCAAGGTCGTCGACGCGTACGACACGACCGCCGGTGTGAACATGCCGGGATCGTATGCCGCTGGCGTCGACTCCAAGGCGGGCATGAACATGTTCCCGACGCCCGACTACTTCCCTCACGGGTGGCGCGAGCCCGAGAAGCCCATCTACATCCGCTGCGCAAACAACGACTACCTCAAGGCGAAGGGCGTCGGCACCGCGTACGCCTTCGCGCTGGCTGACCCGACCAAGCCGCAGGACACCAAGGTTGTGAACACCGAGTGGGTGAACGCGCTGTACGCGCCCGGACTCGCCATGCCTCTCGTCAGCGTCAAGGAGTGCAAGGCGCAGAACATCGTGGTCCGCTTCGACCTCTGCCCACCACGCTTCAACTACCCCTCCGGGCAGACCATCTACTTCGGGGAGGACTTCAACATCCACCTGATGCCGCTCGGCGCATCCGTCGGCGCCAACGCCGCCAAGGCCATCGTGCGCGGCAAGCCGGGGCGGCGCCCGACGGATGGCACCTTCTGGCGGCACGCCCTGTGCATCTCCGGCGACGCGCTAAAGGACCTCAGCAAGATCGCGGACGGCGTGCCAGACCTCTCCAAGATGGACCGCAACGAGGGCCTCGACGACGCCGCGCTGCAGGCGAACGCCAAGTACCACGCGCGGCGCAGCACCGGCCGGCCACTGGCCACTCGCTTCGGGGGCTCGTCGCACTACGACCTCTGGTCGCCCAAGGGTGTGGTAGGCGTCGATGGGCACTGCTACGCACTCATGGTCGTCGACGAGCACACCAGCACCATCACGCCGTACATCCTGCAGACCAAGGGCCAGACGCCTGCCTACCTGCGCAAGTACTTCGCCGAGAACGAGGGAAAGGACGGCCACACGTTCCGCGGAGGAGGAGCAGGAGGAGGTGCTGCGCGCCCCCGATGCCAAGGAGGCCCAGGCTAGCCTCCCGCCGCTGGCCGAGTTCAACGCAATTAAGCATTCGCTCTCTTGGAGGGGCTCCTGTGAGCGCGAGCCCCCCAACCGCCCTCCACCCACCCACCTAGCTAACCCCCCACCCCCCCCCCCACCCCCTCCACCACACCGCCGAGCGCGCGTCGTCCCTCAAACGCCCTCACTCTTCCGCCCACGGACGCCGCCTTTCCCTCG